TAACTCAGGTGGGTTTAAGAGTTAAGCATGAAACTACCAAATCAGTTTAAAACTATATGAACACAGTAGTTCTTTTATAAGAAGAACTTTTTTGGGGGTGGGGTTGAGATAGGGTCTTGCTCTGTAGTTCATCCTCGTCTTGAACTCACTTGGCAGCCCAAGATGGCCCTGAACTCTCGGTGATCCTCCCAGCAGCCTCCAAGAGTGCCTGGATTACAGGCGAGTGCCACCACGCCTGGCCAGAACTTTATTTATAATTAGAGGTGAAAAGAAAAATAGGGTTACAGATCTGAGCTGGGTGTGGTGGTACCCACTGGTAATCTCAGCATTTTGGGAGGCTGAGGCAGAAGAATCACAGATTCAAACCCAGCCTGGGCAACTCAGCAGTTTAGTGAGACCTTGTCTCAAAATTTAAAAATTGGAAAAAGGCTGGGAATGTAGCTCAGTGCAAAGTGCAAACCTGGGTTCAATCCCTAGTGTGTGTGTGTGGGGAGATGAGACCCAAGATTTCTGATTTGTGATTGTCTTCTGTATGCCAGGAAAAGTGTAATAAATTACAATATGAAGATCAGGAAAATCTCTGTAGCCAGTGTAGCAAACAACTATAACTATATTTAACTATAAAACTAAAACGTATTTGCATGTATATAAATATTCCCTCAGTAAAGAACTGAAATGGGGCTGGCGATGGGGCTCAGTGGCACAGTGCTGGCTCAGCATGCGCAAGGCTGTGGGTCCGGGTCAGCCCGCAGGACTGCAAAAGAAAAAAAGAAAACAGTGGAAGCGACAGAAGGAAACTAAAACCTGATTGAACTGCATGGGCACTAAAACCCTTATTTATACTGCAAAAAATGCCATGCAGTGAAAAGACAACCAGATAAAATATCTGGAACTCACATGTCTGAAAATTATACTCAAAATACACAACGAACTCTTACAACTGAAAAATAAGATAAACAACCCGATTTATTGTATTTTATTGAAACAGGGTCTCACTTTGTACTGCAGTACATACAGGTTGGCCCCGAACTCATGGCAATCCTCCTGCCTCAGCCTCCTAGTGCTGCGATTATAGCCATGCACCACCATGCCTGGCAACAGCCCAGTTTTAAAATGGACAAAGGCTCTGAACAGACATTCTTCAGAGATGATATACACCAATACTACACGCAAGGATGTGCAACCTCCTCATCAGTCATCAAGAAGTGCAAATCAAGCCCTGTGAGGCAGCACTTCACACCCAACACCATGGCTAAAATAAGAGGCAATAGCAAATGTCGCGGAGGATGGAGAAAAACTGCAGCCCTTCCACACTGCTGTGAGGATGCAAAACATTACAGTAGCTCCTCAAAGGGTTAAACAGGAAGTTATCCCACGATCTGCAATCCCACTGCTAGGCACGCACCCAGAAGTGACAACGTCCAAGTCCACACAGGCACGGGAAGGAAACGTTCACAGCAGCATTATTCACAAATGCAAATGGAAACAGCTCCAGTGCCCATTAACTGGTGAGCAGATAAACAAAATGTGGCACATTATATAATGGAATATTTATTATTCGGCCTTAAAAGGAATGAAGTGATGACATAATCCATGCTATCGTATTAATGAACCTTGAAAACATCGTATCAATTACATCCCTAAGTCTGTAAAGCCAAACTCAGGGTTCTGAACCAGGGCTTTCACTAAATTTCAACCACTCTATAAGTCAACCTAAAATTAATCTCAATCAATCTGTCTCTTGGTCTCTCTGTCCTGAGGACGGGACCCAGGGCTTTCCCGTGGAGCTACATCCTGAGCCCCAGTCTTTTATTTGTTTATTTATATTTTGAGATAGGGTCTGGCTAAATTGCCCAGGTTGGGCTCACACTTGTGATCCTCCTTTGCCTCAGGCTCCTAGAGAGCTGGATTGGAGGCTTGTGCCTTCATGCCTGGCTTTAAAAATCTCCTTTTAAAAAAACAAAGATAGGGCCAGGGATTTAGCTTAGTGGTTTCGCTGCCTGCTGCGCAAGCGCAAGGACCCAAGTTCAATCCCTGGTACCAAAAACAAAAAAAACCCAAAGATAGATTAAAAAGAAAAAAGAAAATGAAGACAGTAGCGGAGTACTGTAGAGATGAAAGCCACTGGTGGGATATCTAATAGAAATGTTCAGGGTGGCAGCTGTTTACACAGCTCTGAAGTTCCAGAGAGAGATTTCTGACTTGAGACTGTGTTAGCTGAGGCTCGAGGAGAGAAAGAGACAGAGAGAAGACAAAAGAGAAAGCAGTGGAGCATCACACCAGCCTTGAAGGGAAGGAGCCAACAAAACTAAGAAACAGTAGAAGGAGTAAGCGAGAAACTAAGAGAGAGTGCCAAGAGTCAAGACAAGAACTCTACAGCATTCACTCTCCAGAGAGGGCCCAGAAGTAACAACTCTAGAAACACCCACTGCCCTTGGAAGGGTACAGCAAACAGCCCCACACCAGGCAGCGAGAGGGAGGCACTGAGCGGGGCTGCTTTCAGGAGGCAGGGGTTAGGTTGCTTTTTGTTATTATTTTGTTTTTGAAGTCTTAAGACTCTCAGCATGGGGGGGGCGGGCAGAGAAAAGAGGGCAATACAGGACCAGGGGATGCTGCCTGATATCCAGGGACGGAGGGAATTCGACTGAGGATAGAGAGAGAGGTGGAAGCACATGCCTTGGATAGACCACATTAAAATCAAAATCCATGGCAGGATGCAAAACAGGAAGGCCTTATTTACCTCATCCTGCAAGAAGAGGTCTACATAACCAAATTTACCAGGCACGGTACCTCTACAAAAATGAACTGTTAACTATTTTCTTCAAAATTACTCACCAACATATCATACAGTTCTCCGCCTTCTTAAACAGAGTGGGCTTTCCTGGATGATTTAAGGTCATTGCTGACTACCTCATTGTACTAGGAAATAATATAGTTGAGTCTGCATTTTAATCTTTCAAATCTTTGAAGGCAGGTGTGGTGGTGCATGCCTGGAATCCCAGCACTTGGGCGGTTGAGGCAGAAGGATCAGGGCAAGGGCAATGTCCAGGCCAGCCTACCTCCTTGGTAGTAAGTTCAAGGCCAGCCTGAACTACATTGAGACCCTCTGAAAAAAATAAACAAAAACAAAACAAAACCTTCTTTGAATGCCTTAACACTGTGAGTTGCCAGTTTCTTGTTAAGTTGCCCTAATAACCTTTGTGACTTCAATAGAATCTAGTTTGAAAATTACACAACCATTAAGTAATACCCTAAAAATAACAGACAGGGCTGAATAAAAAAGGGAAATAAAGTGCATGGCTTTATGACACTTAACACTGGGGAGTGTTATCACCCAGTGCTAAGAAAGCTGTCTTCATTTTTCAGTTTGAGACTAGAGTTCAGAGTTAAGTATTTCAGAAGACTACCTCTGTCTACCTGCACTCTCATTTTATCCTGCATTTTTTGTTGTTGGTTTTTTTGAGACAGGGTCTTTCTATGTAATTCAGGGTGTGGCCTTGAAGGCATTTAAGTAGCCCAGGCTGGCCTCAAACGTCCAGCTTGGGCTCACTTTTGGAATCAGCATAATTTATTTACTTATCTATTTTATGGTTTAAAACTAATCATTTAAAATTATCAATTACTTTGAGGGGTATTTGATATCATTTAAGAAAGCACAAGCCAGGTGTGGTGGCACACGCCTGTAATCCCAGTACTCCAAGGCTGAGGCCAGAGGACGGAAGAGTTTGAGGCCAGCCTGGGCTACATAATGAGTTCAAGGCCACCCTGAACTACATATCAACACCCTGTCTCAAAACCGAAACAAAAAAACAAAAGTAAAGTGAGCCCATATATCTCACAGGAACTAAATAACTGTCCTACAGTCATTTACTAATAAAAAATTGTCACCTGGGCTGGGGATTTAGCTCAGTGGCACTGTGCCTGCCTTGCAAGTACAAGGTCCAGAGCTTGATCCCTGGTACCGAAAAAAAAAAAATTGTCACCTCTTCATTTTTTTTTTTTTTTTTTGGTACCAGGGATTGAACTTAGGTCCTTACGCTTGTGGGGCAGGGGCAGGCGTAAGAACCACTGAGCTAAATCCCTGGCCCTCCTCTTCACTTTTGCATTATAGATATTATTCATGATAAATATATGTCCTTCACAAAATCTTTGTTAGAATTCTTTCCAGGTTCATACATCTCACAATGGCAAACAGCACAAGGGCTAAAAAGGACTAGAGTTAAAGTACCCAATCAATTAACCAAAACTTAAGAATTCACCCCTTTAGTTCAACACCACAGGATATACTGCTTTCATTCTTAACATTACAGTGGACAATTTCCCCTATATGTATCAAAAACCAAGACCAAAATAAACTGTTGATTCTCCAGGACACTCTTCCTGTTCCTGAAGTTTTTCTCTTTTTTTTTGACACAGTGTCTTGCTGTGTAGCCCAGGCTGGCCTCAAACTCACAGCGATCCTCCTACCTCAGCCTAAGTGCTGGGATTCCAGGCCTGCACCACCTTGGCTGCCTAGCTGTTTTTTGTTGTTTTTTTTAAATTTTTTCACTGGTATCAGTGAAAATGAACAACTGTAGAATTTCTCATCAAAACAGAGAGCATTTAAGTGGCCTGATCAGCTCAAAGCTGGAAACACCTTCAGGCTCAGGTTCAGAGCGTCAGAGGCACCAAAATCTATACCTTTGTCCTTGTATTCCGACCGAATTAACAGTTCCTGCCCTCACGGTCTGTCAGGGAAGGCAGGCTTGTCAACAGATTGCAACACAGGCAAAACCAGAATTGAGGAGAGTTAAACGGCTCGCGCTGTTAGAAGTGCAAGCAGGGGTACATTTCTGCATTCCTCAAAAGGTGCTGGATGGAAACTTGTTGCATGAACGGTGAGGGAGGTTCTGAGGAGACGTTATCAGCTGCATCTGGAAGCCACCGATCCACCCCGTGTTCCGACAGCTGCCATACAGGCGCCAGCCTGCGTCCCCCACCTGCACCCGAGAGGACCTCACCTGTACTGCCAGCCCTTGGCACTGCCACCCCGGCTGCCGCCGCCGCCGCCGCTGATCGCGCCCGCGCCGCTGTTCTTGCCGCTCGGGGTCACCGCGGTGGCCAGCGCCTCCAGCCTCCCTTCGCTCTCGGAGACTCTCATCGTGGACACTGGCTCGCCGCTCTGCATCCTAGCTCCCGGGTCCACCTGCGCTTCCCTGGCCGAACAAGTCAACTCCGTGCAAGAGTTCTGCAGGCGCCTCCTTCTTTCTTCTTTTTAAGACTCTGATGTGATCCCAGTTGCTAAATGCGACGGCGACACGAAAAGGGAACGCCACTGGCCCGGGAGCGGAAGACACGCATCCTCGAGTTAAACTTTCAGGACGGCAGGGGCGGCGGTGCGGCCAGATATCCTTCCCATGCACACGGAGTTCTCTCCCTCCTGGCGAAAGCAGGGAGGAAGGTGTCACCCAGCTAGAAGGCTTGGGGATACTGAGAGGAGTCACGGGCTCTGTAACCGCGAGTGGGCGAAGGGCGGGCGGGGATCTGCGGCCTGGCCCCGGCGGAGGGCGGACCAGCCGCGACCCCTGCCCTGCTCCTCTCCCGGCTCGGCGGTTCCCGCCGCAGCCCTAGACCCAGCCGCTGCGGCGCGCACAGCCCAGGAGATCGCGGAGGAGGCCGCCGAGGGCGGGACACTGGCTCCCAGGGCCTTCGGCGAGCCGTGCGGCGACACCCTCCAACACCCCTGGCCCTGCGTCCTAACCTGGCTTCCAGGAGCTGGCGAGCCTCACGGTTGAAAGCCAAAAACGCGACCGCCGCCCCACCCACAGCTCCACCGCGAGTCACCCACCCGCTGGCTCGCTTCCCGCCTTCCCTTCCGGAGTAGCGTGAAGTCACTTCCGGTAACGGTGGCGCACGTGGTGCCATCTTGGATTTGGGCAGCTCTGCCCTGAAGGGGGCGGAGCCGCGCGGAGGGAGCTCGCTTGCTGATCCGAAAGAGAGCCAGAGGGCTCAGCAAGAGCGGCAGGGCGTCGCTGAGGGGGTCACAAAGGAGCCAGCCCTAGTGTTGGATGACTTCCTACCCTTCTATTCGAGGTCCCATTTCATGCATTTTCAGGAGAAAGCTATGAAGAACAACAACTTTTTTCAAAAACAAAATAACACCTTCTTGTTTCGGTCACTTTGGAGAAAAAAGCGTGACGTTGGAGTAAAGCAAATCAGTTTTAGAAATGAAGAAGTTCGATTCCCGGTACTGGAAAAAAAAGATACAGACATGAACAAGAAACTGTCTTGGAAATCAGAACCAGGGAGTCTTGCTGACTCCAGACAAACCTTTCCCCCCTTTCAGACCTTGGTTTTCATGTGTAAAATGAGTGTTGTCCCTTTTCATTGCAAATTCTAGTTTCTATCAGCAAGACTTGGCGTTGAATGCATATTACATACAAAACTCTACCCAGGGCACCGTGGTGCACGCCTGTAGTCCCAGAATTCTGGGAGGCTGAGGCAGGAGGATCCAGGTTTGAGCCCAGTCTGGGTACTGTAGTGATTTGATGAGATCTTGTCCCAGAATAACAAGTAAAGGAGTGCTGTGGTTATAGCTTGGTGCAAAGGTGCCGGATCAATCCTAAGTACCAAAAAATTAATTAATTGTTAAAAGTCACTAGGGCAAATGCAAAGAAATATTACTCAAGGTGAAAAGTAAACAAAGTAGTAAATTTAGATATTTATTTATTTATAAAGAAAATAAAAGAATGAGTTCCAGGGATAGCGTGTACCTGCTGTCCTGAGAGAGGAGACTAGGGTGGGGCAAAACCGGCTGAGCAGGTGGGCGTGGCCTGTCAGCATGGAGACCCAGAAGGCATGCGCTTAACACGGTTCCCGTCCCTGCCCCTGGAACCAACCAGGAAATGCTATCTTCAATTCTTCATTTACATCTGGTGTAAAATCAAGCGAGCCTTTGATGGGACATTTTAGATCTGAAGTCAGGCCAGGTGAGCTTCTGATAGGACAAACGTCCCAAATTCCGGTTTCGGATGGGAGAGAAGGCTCTAGGAAGGCCTGGGCGTTAACCTCATGGCAGCTATGAGCCTTCTCAGCCCCAGATCTCATTCTACAGAGTGTATTTCTTTTCTGCCTTTAATAAATATAAATCCTTCTTACCTTTCTCGAGTCTCTTGTCCACTTCTTTGTTCAGAATGCCAAGAATCTGGAAGGAATTTCTTCAGAACCCAAAAAGCCAATAACAGTCCCAGCTCCTTGGGAGGCTGAGGCAGGAGGAGCACTTGAACCTAGGAATTCAAGGCCTGCCTGGCAACATAACTGAGACCTCATATCAAAAAAAGACAAAAAATCTGTTTTGTAATAAAAAAAAGTACGCCTACTTGAGAAGAGCAGTTGAAGAAAGCCCTCTAAGGACATGACATTTATAATGAGAGATAAAGAAACCTGAGGAAGCTTTGAGAAAAGCAATCTGTACTTGTTTGGGGGCATGAAAGACCTAGGAGCTGGAGCCTGGAGCAGGACAGGGAGCATGGTGTGGAATGGATGTGAGGAAGAGGAGCAGAGGAATTTGGATTTTGTGGTGAATGCACTGGAAAGTCATGGAAGGTATTAATCGGAGGAGGCTTGTGAACTGCTTCGCACTTAAAGATCCTGTCTTTCCAACAAGTGGTGCTAGAACAATCAGACTGACTGCACGCAAAAGAATGAAGCTGGAGCCAGGTGTGGTGGTGCAGGCACAGGGGAGGCTGAGGCAGGAGGATAACCAGGAGTTCAAGACCAGCCTGGACTACATGGTGAGACCCTGTCTCAAAAAACAAACAAACAAACATGAAGTTGGACCTTTGCCTCCTAGCACATACAAATATTAACTCAAAATGGATCAAAAATATAAATGTAAGAGCCCAAACTAAAACACTCTTACAAGAAAACCCAGAATGAATGTCAATGACCTGGCATTAGGCAGAGCATTTGTGGTTTTTTTTGGTACCAGGGATCGAACTCGGGACCTTGTGCTTGCCAGGCAGGTGACAGAACCACTGAGCTAAATCCCCGGCCAAGGTAGAGCTTTCTTAGTACGAGTTCGAGGCCAGCCTAGCTACATAGGTCCTAGGGCCATCTTGTTAGAGGTGTCCTCCCAAATGTCTTCCTTGGCCACGAACTATAGAGCAGCTTCAGTTTTATTTTGTAGCATCTGACACATGCTTTGTCCTGCAAGGTCTGTCCCCTCCATGGGGACTGAGCTGACTCTTTTCTCCCATACGGAATGTTGTTTGCTGTGTGTGTTCACGGGGTGAATGGATTTGCTACGGTGGCATCAGACCTCAGCCCTGGCTCGGCCACTTGGTGGGTGTGATTTGAGTAAACTGCTTCAGTGCACCTTGCTTTTCTCACCTGAAAAATGGAACGTGACGGAATCAGAAAATGGAGTAAGTGCTGGGGATGGCGCCTGGCATCTCCTTAGCCCTAAACCAACCTGGACGTGAGGGAAGGGGAAGGGAGGGAGGCTGATTTCCCTAAAGCACTGGACCCCTGCTGTGTAGGAGCCAGAGCTGTGACTGCTGACTGAAGGGGAGGAAAGGGAGGATGGGCCACACAGAAATGGGGGTTGGAGGGGTATGGGGTGCAGCATTGATGGGTCTCCTGAGAGGAAGGTGACACCAGGAGAAATGCAGCCATTAAAGAAAGGAAGGATGGCTGGGTGTGTGGTGGTGCACGCCTGTGATTCCAGCACTCGAGAGGCTGAAGCAGGAGGATCTCTGTGAGTTTGAGGCCAACCTGGGCTATATAGTGAGTTCTAGGCCAGCCTGAACTACATAGTGAGTCCCTGTCTCAGAAAACCAAAGTAAGTAAATAAAAAATGAAGGAGGGAAGAGTAGAAGGAGGGAGGGAGGGAGGCAAGCAACAAAATGTTCCTGTTCACAATAGATGTTCCTACTTCAGTGAAGCAGAATAGCAAACCAACCGCAGGACTCCTGCATATGGCCCTTAATATTCCCTGTCCTGCAGGGGCAGAATCCTGTACTGCGACAGTGCAGCCAGTGATTTACCCGCTGTCCTGAACCCTGTAGGAGGAAGAGACAGACTGGGCTCTGCTGCTGGGAGGGGGAGGAAAGGGAGAGGAAGACAAGGAAGTAGGGGGTGTGCTCGGGTTTTGATAAAATGAAAACATTTTTCTTCCATGGCCCTCTTCCCCAAGACCTCTCCCCTGAATCCCTGTTGAATTTAAAAGTACTATGTCATGCCTGTCATCCCAGCACTTGGGAGGCTGAGGCAGGAGGATCACTGTAAGTTCAAGGCCAACCAGGGCTACATAGTGAGTTCAAGGTCAGTCTGGACTGCACAGTGAGACCTTGTCTCAAAAAAGAAGAGAACAAGTACTATGCCATTTAAATACCCAGCAGACAGTAAAGCTAGCTCTTAAGTGTGTATTATGAAATAAGAACGCACGTTCTTTCAAAGTGATGTGTCTCTCATGTCCATTTTTAGTCTCCGTTGGCCATGGCAGGCAGGGCTCCTGTTCCCAGAAGCCCCCGAGGGGCACAGACGATGGAGCACGTGAGCTTCCTGTCATGGGCAGGCGGGGTTGCCATGGGAAAGGAGAGAGAAAAGGCGGTGCCTGTTTGCATGAACCACAGGGGCGGGGATTCCTGCAGCACCCTGTGGACCCCCTTCCAAAACTCATGCGAATTTATTGTCTCCATTAAATGAGGCTGTTGACAGGAGGACTTTGGTTTTCTGGAGAAGACGTGGGCCAGCATCTTTGGAAAAACTGCCAAAAAAGCGAGACTAGGGTAATGCTTTTCAATATGTGCTCCACGCAGCATCACAGAATAATAAATGTCGCTTCATTTAAAATATTTCTGGCTGTGTGTGATTAGATACATTTGAAAAACACTGATTTGTGTGTGTGTGTGTGTAGCCCAGGCTGGCCTTGAACTCTCAGTGATCCTTCTGCTTCAGCCTCCTGAGTGCTGGGATTACAGTTTGCTGGGATGCCTGGCAAACTTGGGGTCTTGGGGCCAGGTGGTGTCATCGTGTGCTCAGGGCAGGAAGAGTCTTCTTTCCTGCAAGATGAAGGGTTCTCAAGACCCCTTGGTCTCCAGCCTGGCTCAAGCGGACTTTGTCCAAGCCTCTTCCATCTGAGAGAAGCAGCAGGGGAGGGAAGTGGTGAAACAGGAAGGAACCCAGGGTGAGACTGAGGAGAGACAGGGCCCCACCCTGCGCTTTTCCTGCTGACCGACTGGCAGCTGTCACGCCGCTTCCCTTGTCCCCCTCCCCCCGCCATCACCCGCAGAGGGTGGCCAGGGGGCCAGGCAGTGTCCTCTCTGCACCTTGAGGTACCTCAGCAGCCACCCTCTGCTTCGCCCAAAGGAGCCGTGATGCCCCTGTCCCCCACTGGGTCCCTTTAGGTGCAGCTGCCACCTCTCGGAGGAGCAGCGGAGAAAAGGTCAGGAGGGACAGGGCCACTGCTGATGTCCCCCTGTTCCCCAATCCCAGTGGCTACGATCAATACCTTTCCCAATGGAAAGATACGGCAAGTGCTTGAATTTTAAAAATTTACTACAGTAAAAGACACATTACCTAGAACAATGGGATAAGAGTGTTCAAAGTGAGGGGGAGTATTTTGAGCAGAATGAGTGGCAATGTATCTTTTAGTATAATTCTTTAAAAATTTTTTAAACATTTACCATATTTTTGATCACCCATATTGATCAAATGTTTACAGCCAATTCTGTCAAATAAAAATATTACCGTGTCCTCATCCACCTTATCTAGTGATCATGTACCATGTAACCCTGGCTTTTCCCCACAGTCAAAATACCATGAAAGGGAAACGTTTCGAATCCATTCAGGATATGGTGGCAGTGCAACT